ATATTACTATAAAATATACCTTTTTCTCCTCACCGGTAACAAAACTCTGAATTTCATGCACAATGAAATCGTCAGGTGGTGATTAAAAGAGTTTTTTGAAAACAGTTAAAAATTAATCTAATGATTACTTTACGTTGAGATGGCCAGAGTCCCTAAGGATGTTATTATTTTATTATTCATATCAATACATTTCCTACTTGCCCTTGTGCATTTTAATATAACCTATTCACTTTTATGCCACGTTCATTGCACCATTGAATAGCAGAAGTACTTCTTATGGTGTGAAGCGCAAAGAACGTTGCCAATACCAGATAGGGTAGAACTTCTGAATAAACTTGACAAGCGGCGTGTCTATGTCAGATTTATACGAATTATAGAGTATTGGCTCATCTACAGTTTAGGACAAAGAAAAAAGGATTAAAATAGCACAAGATTAACAAGATTATTTGTAATCGTTGGTTTATTTGTGTTTCATTAATATTTCACTTGAATTTCATTTAATTTTTTCTCTTTTCTTTATTAATTGACATTTACTGATTTACCGCGGAAAGCAATGGCAACCTCCTGCGCAAAAATCTGCCTAGTAAGTCATGAATCAAAAGAGACATGGTTGCCTAAGCGTTGATCATTTTGGAACTTAACTATCTCACTAATTTAAAGCAGTATATTATAGTTATTAGGATGGGTTGAAAAGTTCATAGGCTGACTCTGAAGGAATGATGATAGAGCAGTGATATCTTGCATGCATTAATTTCAACTCTTGGTATTAGTAACTGAATTGTTTCACTCTGGGTAAACTAAACCTTGATTGGTCAAAGAATTCTTAAACTGTAACTGTACTAAAATGGATAAAATTTGGTATCTTGGTGTTATCAAATGCTTGCAGAAAAAAGGGTTTAGCTCCAAGGACATTCATGCTGACATGGCTGCTACATTAGGGGAAAACACTCCAAATTTAAGAAGAGTGTAAAACTAGGAAAGGAAAAGATAGTCTTGAAGATGCCCTAATGTCTAGACGCCCTGCAACTATCAGCCATGATCGTTGTCACCACATAGTGATGGTTGACAAGCGATTGATTATAACTCAAATAGCCAATGTTATTAGCATATTCCGTAAGAGAGTTGAGAATACTCTTCTCATTGAATCTGGCATGACGAAGGATTCTGCTCAGTGGCTGCCACGTTTTCTGATACTTGATCAAAAACGAATCAAGCTGATAATATTGCGAGAGAATATGCCAATGTTTCAGGCAAATTCAGCTGGTTTCCTTGGATGTTTTCTAACACAGGATGAGTGTTCTGTTCATCACTTTAAGCTACAGACGAAGAGACAACATGCAGTGGAAACACTCTCTTCACCTGCTTCAAAGAACGTCAAAGGATGGCCTATTTGGTGCGGGGGGGGGAGAAAAAAGACATTATGTTTATTTACCGCGGGAAGAAATGTCAAACTACTGCGGGAAAATCTTCTGCCTAGTCAGTCATGAATTGAAAGAGACCTGATCGTCCAAGTGTGTATCATGTATGACACTTAATTCACTGAAATAAATATTATCGTTGGACCCAAAAGAAATAAAGTTGTCAAAGGAATAACTGTCCTTTTGGCATACCATTTTGTGCGGGCACAAATATTAAACATTGTCGGATTTTTAAACCGAATACGTCAACCTTTTCATTACCTTTTGAATATTATACCAAAGAGAGGCAGTAAATTCTGCCGGCTGGTGGGGAATTAAATAAGATTTATAGTTGTATTTAAAATTTTTCATTTACATTTGAAGCTAGAATATCAGGGCAAGGTTAAGTATTTTCTCAGCCCCACCCATTTATTCTATGTTTACTCCACCATTCTCTTGCTTTGAGCGAGGCATACTTTTTACACAAAGTGTATATTTGTAGACGTAGAAAGGAATTTGCTAATTAAGTGTCGATACTTTCAATTTCTAGCTTAACATTTATCAACGAAACGATGCAGCATGAATTCATCGAATTAATTCACATGAAATATATCCAGAATGATTTGCACTTTCCTTATTAGGACATTTATTGACCGAGCAGACAGCGCTATTTTCGCTCGACATTCATAAGAGCTTTCTATTAAATAATTTTTAAGAGACAAAGAAGGTCAAGGCATAAGGATCGCCTTAATTTTTTTGGAATGAAAAAGCTTTGTGTTTATTAACTAAGTACAAAAGGGCCACACCATCAATGGAGAGTACTATGCCAACTTACTGAAAGACTACAAAAGACTATAAAAACCGGGAAAAATAACTAAAGGAGTCTTGCTTCATCAGAAATATATATCTAATCACACAAGTCCTTGGTTTCCATTGATGCCGTGCGCAGCTTTGAATTGCTTGATCACCCTCCTTGATCACCTTTTTTGACTATCATCTGTTCCCCAACATCAAAAACACACTTGGCTGGGAAACTATATTTCAGTGATGATGACGTCATATCTGCTGTAGATGACTTTTTTGACCAACAGGATGAACAGTCTTTTTTGAACTGTCAGATGTCAGTTCACCTGGAAAGAAATAATGCACGCAAGATTTCCCAGCTCTAGCATAATTCCTTCATAGTCAGCCTTTGAACTTTTCATCCTACCCTCGTAGGATGAGATAGTTAAAGTTATCTTAACATATTCATCAATAAGCCGGTAAAATAAATTATTCACTTCACTAAGAGTTTCACAGATGCCGGATTAGTCAGTGTTATCATTATACGAAATGAAAATGGTTCAAATAGCATTAGTGTCCATCGTATAATTAAGTTGAAATAAATTAATGATCTACCGTGGCCTACTTTTCAGAGACGCCTGCATAGAATTCTTCAATTATTCTCAGTATTTCCAGCGCCATTTTGCTCATATTCATTAATTAAAAGAAAAAAAATAATGAAAGAAATTGATTAGTTTCTTTGAATCCTCATGGCAGTATTAAAAAAAAACCTGCATGTCCGCGAATATACCTATTGAGCCTTTGAACGAGAGAATTATAGACAAAGTTTGCAATGAAAATGTGTGCAAAAATGCGAAACCCAAAATAAGACGCTGAAATGCTTGTTCAAGATAGGCAGATTATTGACAAATATGGTTGCTAATTGCCATGGAAACTACTTAATTGATCAACAATAACTAGAACATCACGCGATAAATATTTTATTAAAATTTTTTTTTTAAAAAGGCGGCAAATCACTTTGATCAAAAGTAAATTCTGTTAATGTTGTTCCTATTTTTTCTTGAATAAAATTCGTTGTAAGTCTTCAAAGTCAACATTAGGTGTAGTTAAACGACATTTTTCTTCACATAAATGTTTAACATTCACTATTCTATTAGGTTGAGTAATGAGTAATTTTCATTTTGGGAACTATTACTTAATTTTATCATAAGTGATGAAACATAGTTTATTGACGATGATTTTAGTATATTTTTTAATCGAGTTAAAGCCACCAAAATACAAGGGGTCACTGGGTGTGGAAGAATTAGAAACAGAAACATTACTAAAAAAAAAGAGTAATCAGGAGGACAGTAGATAGCAATTGACATTGCATTTAAATTTTTGAAAATTAAAGGTGGCTGGGAAGCGTGTAGCCAGAAGGGCGTTCTATAACAGAGAAGAGCGAGAAAAGAAGCTGATTTACGGTTTCATGTAGCCAACTTAACTGTGAATAATGCCAGTCTATTAGAGCGTTTAAACTAAAAGAAAAGACTGGATAACATAGCGAATAGCTCATCCGAACAATTACCGTGAAAGTATTTATAGAAAAGGTACAGATGTAACCTTAAGGCGGTGGGAAAGTGACTGAAACCGAGATGTCAGACCGGGACCAATAATATTGCTGATTCTTCTTTGGATTCTATCAAGCTGTTCTGGATAAATAGCGGGAGCACACGACCATATATGGCAGCAATATTCTAAACATGAACGAATGGTAAACTTATAGATATGTAGGATATATCCTAGAGAGACATTGTCTTACACGACACAGTGAACCAACGTATAGAATGTAATGATAAAATATTTTATATATGACAATTTTCGTATATAAAGTAATAATAAAATAAAAATGACATATATATGACAATTTTCGTATATAAAGTAATAATAAAATAAAAATGACATATATACGACAATTTTTGTATATAAAGTAATAATAAAATAAAAATGACATATATACGACAATTTTTGTATATAAAGTAATAATAAAATAAAAATGACATATATAGGACAATTTTTGTATATAAAGTAATAATAAAATAAAAATGACATATATACGACAATTTTCGTATATAAAGTAATAATAAAATAAAAATGACATATATACGACAATTTTCGTATATAAGATGTAGGTAAGGAGAAATAGATTTTAAACGTTTAAAATTAAACTTCGACGCCGACTGTATGTAAATTTAAAACTTGGCTTACTTCATTTTGCTTTTCATCCCTCCATTGCATTTAATGTGCACGTGGGCGAGTGGTTATAATCTTCGCTTTTCAGCCAAGAGACTCGTGTTCGAATCTCACCGTACTGAATTTGTAGACAAGGTAACGTCTTGATGTTATCTACCTTTAGTAAGTATCTGAAAACTATTCCATGAGTCTACCCGAGCTTTGTGAGTGAAATTGGGATAGATGGAATTTTTCGGAAGCTGTCGATGTTTATGCTTGCAGAGAGTTACAAGTCATCGTTGCTGAGGTTTTGAGTGTCCTGGCCTTGTTCAAATTGTTGACCACACCAGATGGTTCGATTTCTCCCAGACAATGTAACTAAGATCTGTTCGGCATGGTTGCAGTTTAAGCTACAATCACGAATGTGCTTGAGCAAGCATCTGCAACAGGGATTGGCTTGTCGCCGTATCAAGCAATTGTATAATAGTCATTTTGCAAGGAAGGAAGATACGTTTTATAATCCTGGATGTCAATTTTCTGTAGCTGATTAAATTATTTCAATTTATTTTCAGTTCTATAGCTTTTTTTCTAAGACTTACGCATACATCACGTTGAAACAGCGGTTCCCGTACGATCATTGAAGATAAGCAACGTCGAGTCGAGTCAGTACCTAGATGGGTGACCGCTTGGAAACATCAGTGATGTAATGGATAACGGGTGGGTATTGTTAATGGGAAAGGCGACTTCCAGTTTCTCTTGGGTTCGTTATATTAAAGCGCAAATACTAATGGGAAAAGCATGAATCCACCACTTCTCCCCACCACTATGGGTTAAATAGCAGGGGGGACTTGTATTAGTAAACCACTATTATATCTAAAAAGTAAATTCTTAAAATCGTTGGAAACCAATCCAACTTGATTTTTCTTTTATTTGATATTTTTTTGACGGCCTTTCAAACTTTTATAGGTTATTTAAAGCCATAATAAATTTACATAAGCCGCAGAAAACAAATCCATCACTCAAACTTTCCTTCTCTTTTAGTCAGAATCGCATGCATTACGAACAGTTTTATTCGAGAAATACAACGTAAATATTTTTACTAGAGAAATGTATTGCAGGTCAAGGGAAAGCCAGGTACAAATGGTCAGTAAATGATGGAAACGGTAACGATAAACCAGAACAAATATGCATCATGCAAATATATCGTTAATTATATAACTATAGGTATAAATTGTGAAATATTACGGACTGAATCGGGCTATTTACCTTATTATCCGGCTTACAAGACGCACTGTTTTTCCTAAACAAAAAAACCTGAGAAATACGTGTGCGTCTTCCAAGACGAATGTAAGGCAACGCCCAGGCTCAAGTAAGTATGGACGCTCGACTTATTGGCTTGGGACGTGGCTTTGTATCTTGAATCATTACACTATAATTTTAGGTATCAATCTAATTCAACCTTTTCTATGATATAACCTCAATACTTAGCTGTTACAGGTGTTTTCAAGTCTATAAACATTCCTGTGGCCGAGCCACAAGCTTAAACATGCTCTGTTTAATAGCAGCAGAGGGAGCCTTTCTGCTCTTGACTAGTAAGTCATTGCTATATAAACAAAATCGGACGAATGATTAATATAAACAATACACGGTGCCAGTAGGTGAGTGACGCATAGTGAATGTGTTGTATGAAAATGACGTTTTTTTTCTTAGAAATTTCTTTCCCCTATTAAGTTGCGTCTTCCAAGCCGCAGCGTCTTGTAATCCAGAAAATACGGTATATGTATAAACATCAATTCACGCAACTCAGCTAATTCATCGCATTGGGATGAACATTGTCGGTAACATTTATATGGGGTAATTTTTGGGAAATAATTTGACGGAACAAAGCGAAAATATTTGAAATATGAATATAAAAGGCAGATGCAGTCGAACCTCGATTCACGAATTTAATTCGTTTCTGAAGGTTGTTCGTAACACGAAATATTCGTAAACTGAAAGTAATTTTCGAATAGGAATGAATGTAGAGAAAAAAAAGTCTCAATACAATAAAAATGGAAAAGAAAAGCAGGACACAACACACGAATGTATACAACACGGCGGTTGACGCAGAAATGATTCCATTCAGGTTAACTCGGTTCAGGAATGTTGTTCGAGACCCGAAATTTTGTTCGATAACCGAGGCATTTTCATCTCGAATTTTCTGTTCCAAAAACCGATTTGTTCGACATGTGGGACATTCGACAACCGAGGTTGCACTTTACATTCATATTTATCTCTTATTTCTCCGTTATTGTTGGTTGGTGTGTGTTGCATTTCTGTGTTTTATTAAAATCAATAAACTACAGAAATTCAATAAGAATCATTTTGAGAGTCTTACTCAAACGTTCTAAGTTTAAAGATATACTTAACCGTTTGTAGATTGAGTGATTAATTCGTTTTCTACAACTTATAAACCCTTTTCAGGTTATTTAAAGCAAGAATATATTCTCAGATTGCATTTTCTTTTAGTTAATAATGATTTCGTAATACAAGTCTTATTAATTAACTTATAACTGGGATTAAGAAAAGACGGATTCATACCTTCTCCAATGGTATTTACAAACAACTGAATATAAGGAACCTAATTAGATTTGGGTCTAGGATCTACGATTTCCAGTCCGTAATCATTATCCATTACACTACACACGCATATAAGCTTACAGTACCTGGTATTCCCAAGCGGTCACCCATCTATGTACTGAGCAGGCTCGACGTTGCTTAACTTCGGTGATCGAACAGGGACTGATCGTGTTAAGAATGATATAAAGACGAGAATCTAAAAATGACATTAAAGTTCGTAAATGTCACCGAAATTGTTACCTTTATTTTTGCAGAATATTAGACGTGAAAAAAAAAACAAAAAAAAAACAACTCAACTGACAGGAGATTGCGAATTCATGGCATTATGATGGACATTATGATGGACATTATGATGAACATTAAGATGAACATTATGATGAACATTATGATGAACATTATGATGGACATTATGATGGAGATTAAGATGAACATTAAGATGAACATTAAGATGGACATTATGATAGACATTATGATGAACATTATGATGAACATTTATATTTCTTTGGAAATAATTTGACGGAACAAGGCGAAAATATTTTATTTTACAATATGAATACAAAAGAGCGCTGCATTTATATTTTTAATATGGCCGAGTGGTTCGAAAGTTCGCTTTCTGACCCGTGTTCGAATCTCACAATGGTCGATTGGTCAGGAAGGAGAATTCTTGATGCTATCGGTCTGGAGCCGATCCCAGCGGGCGACACCCTTGGAGAGTTCGCCGGGAACCAAAATTACATACCGATCCGAAGCAGTAACGCTTTAAATAATCCCGTTGTTTTTGACGGATAATGTTAGGCTACTCGTTTCTGAAAATCCCCGCCTTCTACGGTGGTTAACTAATCCTTGTTGCAGACGTCTGCTTAGGCACATCTTAGTAGACCTTAGTTACAATTTCTCGGAGAGGGCGCATAATCTGACGTGATCAATAGTTTGAACAAGGCAAGTATCCTTAAAACCTAGCACAACCACCGACGTTGTCTGAATAGTTACGTCAAACCAACTTCATTCACAAGGCTTGGGTAAACCCGTGGTATGCTTTTCAGGAACGCTGACGTTACCTCCAAAAGTCAATCAACCATGGTGAGATTCGATATTAGTATTGTGTTTCCACGTACCGTATCTGACGACATATTTGACGCACGGGTGTGTAAGACGCTCCCCAATTTCAGCAGGGCAAATCAAGAAAAAATTAGTAATTAGTAAAATTAGTAAAATTATCAGTAAATAGGCTATATTTATGGGGTATTATTTTGGTTAAATAAGCCATCATTACAATTAAACGAAAAATAATAAGAAAAAAAGAACATGAGCTTATAAAAAATTTATTATATCTTTTGTAAACATCTTATTGGAATAATTAGGATATAAAAATTCTGATTGTATTTATACAAGTACAACCGGAAGTTTTCACACAAAAAAAATATTAATGAAACAAATATATTTTACAAATATATAATTTGAATTTATTACATATAATTTTCGTGAAACAAAGCCATAATATTAAACGTGATGAAATTAATATAAGGAATATTATCAATAATAACACTTTTAATCTGCATAATAGCCTTTTAAATAATGACAATAGGTATATGAAAGTTACTCTAAATTCTAAGTTAAAAGGAGTTGCCAGGTAGCTAATTTCGACCGACAATCTTGAATTTTAAACCTCCATATGGCATATAAGACGCAGGGGAATTTTAAAAGGTATTTTTGGTAAAAAAAAGTTGCTTTATATGCCGTCAAATACGGTAAATAACAATTTATAGTTTTATCATGTGTTAGTATTTTTGTAACACGCGTCAGAGTGTTCAAATCCTCACAGTATTTAGTAGTAACGAAATTATCGTTAACATTTTTTGTCGAGATTTACAAACTCTACATTTCGTTCAATTTCGCAAACCAATCGATGAAATTTGAAAAAACTGATTTGTTTGGAAAAAATACTTTGACAAAAGCCCTACTCCGCGGTTTAGTAATTACTTTAATTTAATTTAATAGGACTTCATGGTAAACAATATTTTTTGAAGAAAATTTTTTATAAAAGTGAAGAATAAATTCTTGGGATTTCTTACGCTTGAGCATTTAGAGTTTTTGCAAACGCAGGATGAACTGGAAACTGGATTCTTGTATGCATAAAAACTAAAAGAAAAGATATGCAAGAAACAATATTGCATTTTTATTAAATAAGTATTTGTTACTTTAATAATTAAATTGTTTTTAAAATAGTGAACGTATTTTGTATGTTAAATAATAAAACTTTAATTTCTCCCCAAATAATGAAAATTTATCGTACTAAGCTACGCAGCCAAGTAAAACCAACAGTATTTTGTACCCGCTTACTTGTTTGCACATCTCCCCAAAATTTGGTATCAATCGGTCAATGAATGGCTATTTTAGAAGGTATGATAGACAGACTAACGGAAGTCACTGAATTTTATAGATAGATAGTTTAAAAAGAGACCGCGATAGATAGATAGATTTATAGATTTTGTCGCCTGCTGTTTAACCAACTAGACTTTCAGACTAATTAGCTATCATAGTTTTATTAACACGGAATCCTGTCGCTTTGCTGGCAGCAAGATTATCAAATATCTGATCTAAATTGTTAGTTCTTTCAAAATGCTACATTTATTAGAAAATATATTCAGTTTGAATACAATAGAAAAAATGGGTAAACTTTTCGGCTTATACACTTTTCCGGTTGCCTCGGTGTTGTTGCCAGACAAAAATGGAAATTATCGTTTAGAACGTAAATTCGATTTCCTTCAAATTTAGTGTGTTTGCGTATAAATATTTTAATTCAGTGACAAACCTAAAAATATTTCGACAAAATTAAAATAAGAATCCTATTCATTGCTTAATAATTTCTGAAAATTTCAATATAATTTATAATTTTATTATTATTAGTGTTTAGCGGACCTGAGAACATTTGCAATTAAGGGGTGCTTCCGCGCTCTTCAACACCTCCAATCGCCCGATCAGAGGCCTTGCTGCTGGATGTAGATTTTAATCAGTCTTATTGTTGTAACCTAGAGAAGGTTACTGAATAGAATAATAACGCGAATGTTGGTAATGAACGATAATACTTAGGACAAGAACAACACATATAAGACTCGCCAGCGGTGCGTAGAAGTAGTCAACTGCTAAAAGTGAGCCAAGTGGATTCCACGATGAATCTCCAACTACGTAATATCTAGAGCCGCCCACGTGTTGAGATGTGGCACAAAGCCGAATTTAATGTGGGGTTTCCGAGTCCGTAGGCTCGGCCAAAAATTCCCCGTAGACCCCGTATAAAACCGGGTCGGGTAGCTGTTTCACGAGACGAGCCTCTACCCCTCGACATAGCCTCGTCTGGGGATCCTCTCTGCTTCGGGGCAGAGAGTTTGACCAGCGTAGCTGGAGACGAATCTCCAATTGCAGGATATATACCAACCACCCCACGTGGTCAGATTTGGCACAAAGCCAAATCTAACGTGGTGTATCCGAGCCCATAAGCTCGGCCAAAAATTCCCCGTCGACCCGGAGTCGAGTAGCTGTTTCCCGAGACGAGACTCTACTTTTCAACATAGCCTCGCCTGGGAATCGTCTCTGTCCGAAGGCAAAGAGTTTGATCAGCACAGGTGGAGATGAATCTTTAACTGCTGACAAACATACAGTATTTACTACTGTATTTATGTGACTGGGGACATACCCATTATCGTCTGTAGGTATGCTACACCAGTTATTAATATCTATATACCTACCTTAGACCCCCGTTTTATAAGCTAATCTCACAGTCCATTGCTTATGTTCTGTGTTCGGTCTGATCTCTTCACTCACTATTATAGCCTTATGCTAGACGTAGCTAATCTTACTGAGTCGACTTATCCTCATGATATTCCGTTGGTAAGTTTCACTCAGACATTTTCTTCCCAAGAACTGCTGGAATTATGGAACAAACTCGAGAAAGAATGCTTCCCTGATCGCTACAATCTTAACCAATTCAAGGCTAGGGCTAACTATTATCTATCCTATATATCCTCATAATATTGACATTTTGTTACCTCTCTGTTCGCCCTTACAGCAATCTCATTTATTAACCCTCTCTCTTGAGTAAATGTTAGACGTTGTAATCAGTGGTCAACAGTTAAAAAATTAAAAAAAAACAAATTTAGTAGCTACTAGCAGTAGAGTCCGGCGTTGCCCGGGGATGTAACAGTAAGAGATAGATCAAGTATCGACCATCATAAAGACTAAAAAATAAAATTGACAAAGATTAATATTTAAGGTTGACGGACACACATGTCTTAATTAGTTTTTTTTTTTTTACGAATTGGTCAAACTCAAACTCAGACAAAAACATTGTTTTCAATTGTTATGAGTCTACCGATTGAATAGAATTTGATTATAAACAACTGTCTTGTAAATGGAATTTTTAAAGCATTCTGAATGTAAAAATAAAGAAAAAAGTGTGCAAGACAATAAGAAACACTACCTTCCAAAAAAAAAGTGAAGTTTTGTTGAAATCGGTTGAAAAATGTAGGAAATCCGATCCCATATATAAACGAACACACACACACACACACGCAAACAACCTGGGTTTTATAAGTATAACGATATGATTTGTCTCCCTTTCATTCTTGAAACAGTGATGCCTCTTAATCGTGTTTACAAATTGATTTCGTGCAAAAACAATTGTGTTTTTCCAATTTTTGACGCTGTCTGAACCACCGTAAGGTAATTTTACGTAGTCCTGTGAAGTTTTGTTGAAATCGGTTGAAAAATGTAGGAAATCCGATCCAATATATAAACGTACAGACACACACACAACCTGGGTTTTATAATAAGTATGATGATGGAACTAATTTCAAATCAGTTTTATTGCTAAATTAACATATAATATATTTTCCGAGACTGTACGTAAAATCAGACCCTTTAAAGAGATAAATTTATTCACTAACCATTGAGCTATAAATGTATTTACTGTTGCAAATTTAAATGATAACAGCAATGCGATTAATGCAACTTAATTTGCAAATACGATGACAAGAGAAAAGACAGAGATCTTAGAAAAAATGCGTTCGAGTTAAGTGGGTATTTTTGGACTATTGACATTTAAAAGCCTTAAAACTACCATTTTTAAAGTTATCGATCCAATACAAAAATCTATATCCAATTTGCCATAT